TTGTTAAGGTATACCCTTGCAAAGAGTTTCTTAATTTGAAAATGAAGTTTACAAAATTAAAAAAAAAAAAAAAACATCAGATAAAGTTATGTTTTTAAATCCTAATTCCATACTCTAATCCCATTTTTCAAATCTACGTTTTCATTTCTCAGAGTCTGGGTTTATGGCTTCCAAAATATAACAACAAAAGAGCAAGAGCATTGTCAGTTTCGGTTTTCATATATTTGCGTTCAATATATACATACATAGATTCCTTTTTGTGAATCTCTTCAAACGCAAAAATGGCGCAGGACAACGGAAAACATGGCCATTAGACTAAGAGCACCACAGCATCCTAGGATTTGGATTTGAGTTTCGTTCCAATGCCCTCCCCTTAACCCTCTCAAAGCCACAAATTTTTTTTCTTGAAGGATGGCCAAATGGGAAACGACAGCGACTGACAGCAAAGTGAGCAGCATCGCTGCATACAAACGTATAAAAAAATGCAAAAGGAAAACTTTGAAGCGTGACAAATTGCACGCTGCAGGATATTCCCACAAAGTTTAGAGCTCATGGTGCTCACACATGAGAGGGTCCTGGCAAAAGGATTCGTGGGGCGTTTTGTTTGCCACTTCCGTCTTAATTATGCCGTTTCAGGCCTCGATTTTTTGCCTTTGTTGTTTGACTTATGCGCGGACACAGTGCGGCCACGCCCCTTTTGTATGCATTTGCATTTTGCATTCGCAATTTCAAACTCCCCCTTTGTTGATCCCACTCTTCACTAGTACAGACAAACCTTAATAAATTGAACTTCCGAACAACATGGATTCAAATAAACTCGAATCGGGTTACAGTCCGTAAAGACAGATTTTAAAAATGTTATAACTTTTATTATATTACTATCTCTTTTTTTTGTTGATATGGATTAAATTTTGTCTGTAAAAAATGTAAACTATTAAAACAATTAAAAATAAATAATTATTTTGTTTTCCTTTTTTAATTATGAACTCTTGTTTGCCGACAAACAATTGGATTCTCGAGATCAGGGTTAAAACCCTACAAAAAAAATTTGTCCAATGTTATCTAGAAAATCTTTGAGGTATGGAAATATTTTAAGCCTGCATGATACACCAATAAATTATGTTATTCTAAAATTGCTTAATTTGGTTCGCTACGAGCACGTAGGATTGTAATCCCATTTTGTTTCATATCCCAAATCGATTAGGCGCTTTTTCTTTTCGCTTTATCCCTCGAGTGGGCCGTGCACTCAAACGAAGTACAGCTGAACTGGAAGAGGGGCGGGGCGGAGCCTTTAAGTGGAAGTTGCTGCTTACTAATTAAATTCTGCACAGCAGTAGTACCACAAAAAAAAGTTGAAGAAAATGTGCAGCCAAGTCGAAAATGAGATTGGAAGACAGGGAGGGAGGACAAGGTCCCGGCAGAGGGAAAGAGAAAGCGAGTGGGTGGGTAAGGAATGCCACGTGCACATATACGAGTACTCGAGTGCGCGTGTGGTAGAGTGTGTGTGTGCCAGTGGCAGTGGAAGTGGGAAGGAATCAAGTTTCAAAGGGTACCTAACAGAGGCGTAGTATTGAAGGAGTTATAGAAAAGTTATTTACATACAATATATAGAAAATCGGGTAATCGAGAAGTTGTTTGTAACTTAAGTCTAGTATCCACTTTTGTTCAAGTTATTTGACCTCGACAATTTTTTTAATAACAGAACTTAGAATGTATTATTTTTTCCATGCACTGAATAATTCATGGGTGAAAAGTGGAGAACATATTAAAAGTGATTAACAAAAAGCTATTGGATTTTCCAAATAACCCTTTTACAAAGTCCTGCGTACGCCTCTTTTACCAACCAACGCAAACTGCAAATGAAGTGGCAAAAAGGAGCACGGTAGAGAGAGGGAGGTAAGCATTTTCCTTCCTTCTCCTTTTAGCTGTGTCCTCACAAAAAATTCTAAATTGCAAAATCCAAAGGAGCAGAAACAGCTATAATTTGGTGGTAAGGGTAAGGACACAGGATACTTCGGTGGTTGCTCGTCACACAGCAAAAAAGATCATCCAAATGGTGTATGTTGAAGCATTAACAAGTATGTAAATGTGGGCAGCTCAAAGAACGAACATAAATTATTAATCTGGGGTGGTTGAATGATAGGATAGTTACCCTATATATTTCACAACACAAACAAAGGGAGCATCAAGAACAAATGACAAAAGCAAATACTTTATGTCACATTTGGCTATCTTTTCAAAAACAAGCATTGCAACTTTCAATTACCATAGGAAAGGGGTTGTTATAGTATTTTGATAAAGGAGATAATTGTTTCTGACAAATAGGGCAACTGTGTGTTACATCCCTCTTTAAATCAGTTTAGATCTCATTTTAACTAATGTAATAAAAAATTTACATCTAATTGCGATCTAAGCACTATTAATTAAATCCATTTCACATCGTCTAAAATGTTCACGGTTTGAATGGAAATATTTAAAATTAACGAGAAAGGAAGCTAACTTTGGCAAGTCGAAACGCTTATACTTTTCAATTGTAACGTCAATATATATTTGCAAAAAAAGAAAGTTCTTAAGGAAAAAAAACCGACAACTCGAAAATCGTTTTTTATCGATTTTAACCGGAAAATTAATTCACCCAACATCGTCCGATTTTAATGAAATTAAAAGAGTTTTCTTTAATTTTAGGGAATTCATATAAAATGGCGTTGACTTTGGTTTCTTGATTTTGAAAAATACAATAACTGCATTTGGACAAGATGAACAAATACGCCTCTTAGCTTGATAAGAAAGTTCCTCAAACGCTGTTTTTTGTCAAAAATTGTTTTTTCACTGTGTCTGTTGTATGGGTCCTATTTTTGCACACTTTCTCGGAAGTGGATTTCAATCCGAAAGGGGCGGAGTTTTAGATTTAGGGGGAAAGGAAAAAAGTACTTACTGGTTCGATTCTGGGCTGGCATGTAACTCATCTTGGTGATTAAGGCGCTTTACACCACACCTGCAAGAAAGAGACGGTGAATATGTACATATGAGTAATTTGGCTTAACGGTTAGCTCAGTGTACATGTGTGTCGGTGTCTAAGCAAGGAACTGAAGTAAAACGAATCTCAAAACTCCATGATTCTTTTCACAGACTTAGCAATCATCCGCTAGTCAGTTATTTTATTTGTTTTCTTTTTTTCAGCTCCCCATTTCCGCTTTGGGATGCCGCAGCATAAGAAATATGCTGCGTATATTAAACAAGCGCACACATACACACACACTCTCTCTCGCCCACAGGTAGATGTGTGTGTCTCTACCTGCCGAAGACTTTGGCCACGAACCTTGAGTTTTTTAATTACTATGTTTGGCACTTCTTCAAATTTCTTGCACTCAAAAAAATCAAACACACAAACAAAAATCGTATTCCTTTTTCACTTGCAGCTTCTGGAAAATGCGACCGACCGAACTGGTCGTTGAAACGGAACAGAATGAAAAGCAGAAAGCAGAGAACGAAGCACTTGCAACACGGCGCTCGAGAGAGAGTGCGAGGGAGAGAGTGCGAGAAAAGGGCCGCAGTGCAGCATACAAATGCAATGCTGCGCAGAGTTGCCACACTTCCCCTAGATCGTGCATACACACACACAGGAAGGATTCTGGCTCCAACTCCTACTCTGGAGTTCTAGATTGGACAGAATACCTGCTCCCACTCCCACTGCCGATAGATAATGAGCCTTTAATTCGGACAGACACGATTTCCTGTCTGCAGCTTTGTTTACATTCCAGCAAGCAGCAAAACAAGCCCAAGATTCATGGGGGAGAATACATAAAAATGCTGTTTGTGTGTATCCAGCTCCAACGCTCACACACAGGCGCACGCTCATACACCTCTTCCAGCCCCCGCACCTACTTGTTTGCCCTTGCTTTCCAGCTCTAAGTGCCACACAAATAACTCTTTTTTCCAAGCGGAATTTTTCTCAACAGCATTACTTACCGCGTCCAAGGGATTTTAATCTGCTTTAGAGCAGGATTTGTTTATTTAAAACTCACTGGCACAAATTAACGCGAATCTCTCTTCTCGAAAAAAAACTGTGTATCTCTCTTCCTTTCGAAGTTTTCCAACATTGCTCTGTTAGTTCGACGTTTTCCAACATTGCTCTGTTAGAGGTAATCGATTTTAAAAATATCGGCCCTATCAATTATCGATGTGTATCTGTCTCTAACGATTCTTTCTTGCCACTGTTAACTTCTCACTCAAGTTCTTGCACACAAAATTTTAGTCGATTGAAACACTATCATTCTGTTGAAAAACGAAGATTTAACATTGCGCAACTAGTGATGGCTGCCGCTGTTCCGATAACTCGATGTTACTGGTCGATATCTCAGTGGAAATTTCAAATATTATTATTTCTAAGAACATGCATTGAAATCTCCTACTTCCTCCACGGATAACTTAAAACTCCCTTTTGGGAAAACCAAAAGTTCAGAACATTTTTCCCTGGGGTCATTTCATTATTTACCCGAAGCTTATTAATAACGGGACGCGAACTTATTTCCAGACCAGCTTTGTAATCTTATTTATACCGTTTATCTTGTATAAACATTCACCCATACAAGCGATTCCATGTGTGTGTGTGGTTGTTTGGCAACTCAAGTTTATGAAGAACCACTGTTTTCAGGCACATACTGTGAAACTTATTTTACTTCCTACTACTCACCACGTCTAAATTAATTTTGTCTGCTCAATAGCAGGTATTTGTTTTTTTTTTTTTTTAACGAACTTAACTTTTACATTCAACAAAAATCTAGAGATGGATAAACATCGATGCCACCGATGTCATTGATAAGCATCGATGTTTTTAGCCAAAAAGCCGATTATATTTTCACAGGTGTCTAATCGACAACTTTTTCAATCATATAAAGGCGCGATTTTTGAATTAATGAAGTATTCCTCAATACTCACAAAAGTAAGCTCGCAGACAATACCATTCTTTCGAAACCCCGCATGATAGAATTCACACTTTCTACTGTAACTAACAAGGTCATATATTTTAATTAAAGGATCTATCCAAGCACTGGTCTTTTTTGTGTTAATAACTATGTTTGTTGGGCAAGCAATATTGCCTTATGAAGTTGAGGTGGGTTCCTCAGAAATGGTTGCAGGCGGCGGCGAAAGCGGTGAATCGTAGGTCCTTCGTTGGTCCCTTACAAACTTAACCAGAGCGCTCTTGTGCCGCTCCATACCATCGTAAAGTCCGTAGACCTGGGCAAATCCGAAGTAGGCAGCCACAGCTGCGACTCCGAAAAGAGGAACAATAATGGCGAATCCGCCCAGGCAGGCGAAGAAAACCATGGACACGATGGTGAGGAGAGTGCCTGTGGAAGGGGACCATTTTGTTAGATTTTTTTTTTCCAATCAAAAGTTTATGAGAACCTACCTTCTAGCACCAGCAGACCCGTGAAAGTCATCAACATGGTGGCTATTCCGAAACCAAAGATTATTAGAAAGGGTAGCATGAAGACAAGACCGCCGGCCACCAGGCATATGGCAATATGCGGATTCCGGGCGCACCAAGCCGCAATGGCCTCCAGAAACTCATTTCCACCCAGCTCGGTCATCGCAAACTCCGCTAGGCGACGCACCTGAAGCCCTGCGAGATTTTTGGGATTATATTAATGCTGCTAATGGTAAAAAAGGTCATTAAACCCAATTCCCTTCCAAGTGCACACTTGTCAAAAAGACTTTAAATACAACAAGTTTATGACCAAAGAATTTGGCAAATCTAAGCCAATAGCTAGTTTGTACATCGGGTTATGAAACTTAAGTCTCAAAGAGAACTTTGGCCAAAAAGACGTTAAATACAATAATTTAATGGTTCAATTATTTAAGCAAATTCAAGCAAATTACTCAAATTTGTAGATCGAGTTATGAAACCTCCGGATAACAGAAATATAAAAAAAGGTTAACAACCGTAAAAAGTCGTTTATGACCAATTTTGACATTTAAGTAATTAAAAACGCTCAGACCCTAAAAAACACGAATTTGCACTCCAATTTCGGGACATACATGACTTGTAGAGGGTCTGGAGCACACTTTCAAGGAACTGGTCGCCCGTGGGCGATCCTTCGTTATGATCGCCTGGGTTTTGAGCCTGTTTGGCCTCTTCCGGTTTGCAATCCGTTTTCGTTTCCGCAGACTTCTGGGCATTCGCTTCTCTGGCGGCTTTGTGCGCCTTCTTCGAATGAGCCTGTAGATGCGATCATATCAATATAATTGTAATGTTATGTATATAGCGTGAAAACCGAAAGTGATTAAGCGCCGGCTGCAGCGCGACCTTTGGCTCCGTTGCCTGCGCCTTCGGCCTTATATTCTCATTCTATCCGGATGAATGAATCCGGCGAACCGCACTAACCATATTGTGCGACTACTGCGGGGATATCAGGCGGTTTCTGCGGTCATTACTCATTCAGTTGGAAATTTCAAGTAGTTTATTCGACTGATTAAAAGCAACAGTAGAGAGAAACCTAAATAAATAAACAAAAATATATCGACAACACAACCCTGAAATCCAATTTATCGAGACAGAGATGCCACCCTGTCCAGACAGCTTACATTACCCCTCGAACTACAACGAAATAAGTTAGAGCTAAAATATAAAGCCAGAAATTTAAATTTAGGCAATATGGATTACATCGTACAAACTCACCGTAGTACTTCTGAGAAAATAAATAATTATTTAAAAATGTATTTTTAAATGTAAAATCATTGTTTATTTTATTAGAAAAGCAAATACTCAAGTTCACACATAACAAATTATACTTCAAAGGCAATTAATTTGTAATCCTGCACAATTTTAAAAATCTATTAAGGTAATAACGATAATTTGTAATGCAATAGTTTAGAACCAAGTTGTTAAATTTGAAGTTAATTTAAGGATCAGCCGGAAGATTAGTGGAGCAGAAACCTGAGCCCATTGAAAGGGGGCCGCTCCGTAATCCTCTCCGCGATCAATCGCTCTCCGTGAACAGTCATTCCGCAGCGCAGTTTTGGGGCCTGAAGAAAATTCAGACCGGTGGCCCGTTCTCCGCTTTGGAGCGGAAGCCAGCCGTAAACCTGGGATTCCAGCAGCGGGACCGCCTTCACCAGCTCCCTCTGCCGCTCCAACTGCTTCTCCGGCCAAGTGTGTCTCAGGTAACGCAATGGATTCGGCGGCTGACGCTGCTCGAACTGGGCGTAGAACTTCCGGGTTAGGGGATAAACTATAAATCAATAGGAAATTATAAAAAAATAACTGGTTTCAATACAGTAATTAGCCAACAGTTTTACATATTTTTAATGCAGATACCTAGATTGGTTTTTTGTTGTGACCATTAAATTATAGCATTTTAAACCCAAAAACTAGGAGGTTTTTTGAAAATTGACAAATAAATTTGTTGCAGTCAAGAATGATTTTATTTCAAATGTAAAAGTTATTGTTTTGACTTTTTTTGGAGCTTAACAATTTGGCTTAGAAATTAAACAAAGTTTTTAAACGTTTCAAATTTGTCTTATTTTGTTTAATGTTTTCAATATTTGGAACTACCTGTTTTTTTACCTTCATAAACTAAACCCAAAATTAATGTTTTTAGTTTAGTGACGAAGTGAAAACGAAAAAAACGAAGTCGAATGTTCACCAATTTCAACTCCGGTGACTAAAAACAGAAATCCATTTTTTGTTTACAGGATTGCTTGTTTGCAATAAGTTTGTTTTGAAATTATCAGGCACGAGAGACTAAATACTACTGTACCTTGGCTCACTGGAACAAAGGTTTCGTAGAGTCGGATGTGTCGGTTGGACCCTTCGATCAGCTCCTTTTCAAAGTTGTAGGGCAGCGGCTTTGGATCCCCCTCGTGATGATCCTGCCCCTCGCCATCCTCCTCGGCTTCGTCGGTGGTTTCGAGCTTCGATTTCATGGTGACCCTGTCGCTTAGTCACTTTCACTTTCGCTTCCTACTCTTGTTCCTGACCACCGAAGGAACTCTTGCTACCCAATAACCAAGGAATCCGTCCGCAGCCCGTGACGTGCTCGGTTCGTTTGACTTAGCTGCGGACTCACTGCAGCAAGGACGCCGTCCGTCCGTTTGTCCGACAATCCGAATCCGTTTGTCTGCACCTGTCTTTCTGTTTTGGCAGCAACTTGTACTCATTAAAGTTTTCCCATTGTTGTCGGATGGCAGGCTATGTTACCAATACTGCACACGCATCCCCACGACGCACCCACCGCCCAAGGAGTTCTCAAAGGGGGGGTTTCCAATGGGAATGGGTGTGGGTGTCAGTTTCGATGGTGGTGTGACCCACAATCACAGTTTCGTCAACGTCAAAGGCGCCTGTCGGGCGAATTTCCCCAGCAGTTGCTCCGGGGTGTCCACGAAGTGTGCGACTGGGTCAGGAGAAAGGCCCCAAAAGGAATCCAGCCAGTGATGGGAAGTAGCTAGTGGTAGTCTTGTACCGTGATACTTGAAGGGGTAGACAAATTTTTCAAATTTTTTCCCATATACCAAATTATATGTCGATCGGACTAATATTACCGTCACATAATCAATTTCGGCATCTTAAGAAAATTAACTACTTAAAACTTTTAACCTCAAGAAACACTGCGTTTGCAAGAGGAACATTTTTTTTTTGTTTTAAGGCAAATAATTTATTTTATTTTAATAATTTTTGAAAGAAGTAAACATGTGTTGTTTTCTTCCATTTTTACCCTCATAACAAATTTTAAATCGCTCGGGCTTCAACATTTTATATCGAGTGGACTAATACTATGGTCTCAAAAAACTTTCGGCGACTTTGGAAACTCCACTCAGAAAGTACAAATGTTTCGCTTTAAATTGTAAAAGTTTCACCAAGCTTTCGCATCACTGGGCTCCCACATCCAACCAAATATTTTCTCCATTTCATGTCGTTGGCGTAATTTGGTACAAGCCCAAAAACCGAATCCTTGAAGTAAACAGCGATTTCCGAAAATAAACCCATTCGAGCTATTGCCGTTGCGTGTCCAAACAATCGCAGCCGCAATCCTTTAGGGGCGAAGGATGAGGTGGGAATGGGAACCACATCCGGCACTTGGCTGCCTAATTCTTTATATCCTTTTTGGGGTTGTGCAACTGGCTCTCAATGTCGTCAATTTCAGCTTAATCGAATCTAATTGAATGCATAAATACGGAAATAAATCAATTTAATTACAATACAGCCAACAACAGTCGTTGAAAATAGTTTACACGCACACCCAAGCACTCGAATTCTAGATACGATTATTATAGGTACATTATATGAGCCCTGGTAATGTCTTGATTATTCCACAATAAAATGGGGGAAATTAGGGATAAATAAATAAATTAATTGCTGAAAAAAGTTAAGCCGCTTGACGTTTGGCTACCTAGCTGAAGAGGTACTCCTAGTTGTATTGTTATTATATTTATCCTGGTAGATGACCCTAAGTATTTCTAAGTCAAACTCTTTGTTCCAATTCTCCTAAGTTGAATATACAAAATGGGGGATAAGTCAACTTTAAAAAACCACAATTTAATATTAAAATCTAATTGAACTTATATTTAAATACGGGTAATATGGAAAGAGTATTACCGCTTTTAAGAACTTTTTGTTAATTTTTCTGTTGAATGTATAAATAGTATCAGAGCTAAAAATATAATAAAAAAATTGTTTATACATTAAACTAGATATGTTTTCCAAACAAATGCATGTCCAGTGTTAAATCATATTACAATCCTATTAATATGTCCAGTTCTAAAAGTATAATGATCGTTAACATTCTGGGGAACTGTTTAAAAATGATGGTCATCTTTCGAGGTTGAGGTATATCTGCTTCAAACACTTTCTCCAAACGCTATTCAATGAAACCTCGAGACGATTGGAAATGAAAGATCAGTGAGAATTGTCTTTGTGGTTGGCCAGCCACCAAAGCGAATACCCCCGTAACTAACTACATACATATATCTACAGATCAGTCGTGTTTAGTTGTCGAGGTGTTGTTTGCAAGGGAAACTACAGCGCCTCCGGGTAGAAGTCCCGATAGGCGAAGCCCTCAATGTACTCCGGCCGGTGGCAGGCGAACAGGTGGTGCGGCAGCTCCTTGCGGGCGTGCTTCTCCAGCGCCTTGCGCGTCTTCTCCAGCAGCACGTCCTCATCGAACTTGACCCGCTGCACTGTGGTCTTGCGCAGTATGGTCTGCACAAACTGCGACCACACGGAGCCGCCGGACTCGTCTTGTCCCGATCCCGATCCTGAGCCCTCCTCCGTCAGCTTCTCCTTTCTAATCTGGGTTTGCGGCTGCTTTTTCGTTTCCAACTTCTGCGCCTGCTGCTTGGCTTCCGTTTGAGCGTAAACAGTGGACGCATCCGCCTTGATGGCTTGAGAATCTGTCTCTTTACTCTTGCCCGGCGGAATGTCTTGCATGAGCGTTTGCAGCCGGTCCACTGTGTCAGCCATTCGTTTCCGAAAGTCCACTATTCGCCGGGCGTAGCTGAAGAGCGCCCGCTCCTCCGCCAGCTTCAGTGGTCTCATCCGTTCCTCCTGCACCAGCTCGGCGGGTTCCAGCAGCGGGTGAATGCGAACGCCGGCCTCCGCGGTCCCACTCAAGTAGATGCGGATGGCGAACTCCTGCATCGCCGTGGTATTGACCATGGCCAAGGAATAGCTATTGCGCGCCTGTAGAATTACTTCTCTTATGTTACCCAACTGGGGCGACGACGACGAAGAATTGACCACTCTCGGCTGAAGTTCCTGGAGATCCTGCGCATCCTGCTCCTCCTCCAAGTGGGCTGGCCTATCCAGGCTGTCCAACATCTCCGCCAAGCGACTACGCATCCGCTCACTGTCCGCCTGAAAAGTGAGCAAACCCAAGCCTTGGATCAGCCGGATATTGGCCGCAAACTGCTGCTCTAGTTCGTACAGCTGCCAGAGGGATCTCATGCGGGACTCGTACTCCTTTTGGGCACTTGTGCCCAGGACACTACTGACATTGCCATCGTACAGCTGCAGGCCTCGGATGAAGGCCACGTCCATCGTGTAGTTGCCCATGAAGGCCAGCACATAGTTAAGTGCGTCGGAGGCGGTGGCGAAATTCTCCCGCCGCTGGGCAAAAAACTCGTCCAGATCACTGACGGTCAACTGGTTACGTGGCACCTCTGATCTCTGCAGGCTCTCGTTCAGCTCCCGCTCCTCGCGTATCCGCTCGAAGTTGCTCACTAGAAGTTCGCCGGCGGGCTGCTGAAACTCATCGAACACCTCAATATCCACGGCCATGGTGGTGGTGGCTGCTCCTGCCCTTCCTGCTTCTTGTGCCTGCCCCTGTACATTCGGCTCCGGCTCCTTGTAATAATATTCGTGGTTCTCCGGATGACACTGCGGCATCCATTGCTCCTGCGCCGACACCTGGCGCTCCCTGCTTCTCTCGAAGATCGCCCGTGGACTGAAGCGCTGCAGGTCCAGGGAGGCGTATATGTCCTCTTTGTGGGCGTGACAGCAGTGGATTGCCGACATGTCCATGGGGTGGGCCTCTGTGTTGAAAATGTAGGCACCAGCCTGCACCACGCAGACATCATCCTCGGTGGACAGTAGCTCGCCGCCAGAGCCATCGTTGTGCAGGAAGTTGTCCTCGTCGAACAAGAGATAAAGATACTTGCTCGTTTCGGCCAGGAAGAACGACTCCATGCGATTCTCCTTTTCATGGGTGACCACATTGCGGATCTGGAATAGGTGAGCATTACTATTTGCAAAAACTATATTTAAGCCACTTATGACGACTGCTCACCGTTGCATATCCGCATTTGGTCTTGGCACTAAACTCGAGCGTCTCCAGCATGTGCTCGCCCAGCTCTAGCAGGTACTCATTCTTTGTGGCCCGGTAGAGGTACATGGCCGACTCGATCAGCTCCGGCCGCAAGGGGTAGACCTCCCGATTCGGCGATGCTTCTCCCGCCGCGATGTTGTAGAACTCCGGCAGGAAGCCGTACTTCTTCCACACGCCAATGTACCTCGAGATGGTGCGCAGTGCCGGCTCCGTGTCGCCAATGATGCTGAGGATGCCGGGCCAGAAGGCCTCTAGAGACTGAAAAACGGGCAGGGTGACGTGGCCCTTGTTCATGCCCACCCACACGTACCAGTCCTCTTTGCGCATGTATTTGTCGATGGCCGCACGTGCCTCATGAAATAGTTCCAAGAGCTCCGGTCGATTTAGCAGCACGGATGCCTTAACGAGATACTCGAACAGGGAGTCCACGCCCGCACCGATGCCCGAGTCCAGGGCTGTCCAGCGGCCACTCTGTACGTCGATATGGTTGCCAAAGAGTCCGATGGGCGAGCGATAGGCCCAGAGGGCATGGACCGCCTGCATGGCCACCTCCTCGTAGATGCTGTTACCGGTTAGCCGGCTCAGGGTGCCGAATTCGATGAGGAATGTGCCCACGCCCGCCGTACACGTCACGGAGGTCTCTCCCTTGGGTACGCCGTAGCGCAAATTCACCGTGCCGTACGGCATGCCCGTGTTTGTGTCGAATGCGGGCAGCAATCGCCGGGCCACGTCCTCGGCGAGTCGGAGCAAAGGTCCCTGGCAGGGCCATCCCTGCTCCAGCTCGATGCCAGCTCGCTTGGAGAGCAGATGCGCCGAGAGCAAACCGCCAACGATGCGGATGTTCGTCTCGAACACGGACACGTTGATGTCCCTGTCGAAGTTCATCTTCTCCTCGAGCAACAGGGCAACGCGCCGGAACTCCGAGAAGTTGCCCATGGTGGCCAGCGTGTCTAGGGCGTCGATCAGGGTCAGGGAGTAGCTGCCCCAGGTGTCGTGGCCGTCGCAGGTCAGCGGACGCAGCTCGTCGTAGTTGGCGGCGTGCTGCAGGTAGCCCTCGTAGGCGTGCTGGAACATGCGGCGCACATCCTCCCTAGAGGTTGGCATTAAGGATTAGTAAGCTGTATACCCATGTCATCCGATTGACCCACCTCAGTTCCAGCTTTCTCGCCTTGGAGTACTGCTTCTGACCGCTGGCCGCGCCGGTGGCCAGCAGCAGGAGGATCAGGATCAGGGCACACGGTCTTTTGGTCATCTGCTGCTGCATCTTGGAACAGTCAATCAATCAGGGCC